ATCCCATAAAGGGCCATGTAAAACAATTGACTATCGGGGCAAAACGATCGTAGAAGACAACTCCGCTGTCTAAAAACGTTGAGGGTGTATTTGGACAAACAGGTAGGGTCGCCCCCGCCCCCTTTTCCCCCTTTGCAAAGAGCAGCTTCCGTACGTCAATGCGCTGGGCCAAGGGACACACTAAGCGTTAAATGAGTAGGCACAGTTTTGTTAATACAAAGGGAACGTTTACCGGCCTAAAACAATGAGGCATTTTCCCAGTAAGAAGAGGGAGAATCCTATTTGGCGGCTGGCTGACGCCTGCTCCCAGACCATCACAAAGCCAGACCAAGGGCACGGTTTTTCGCGTATGTCCGCCAATCTGCACTGAGAAATTTTTTTGGTCCTGAGCACTAAACATTTTGTCCCGAAACTGAAAGTTTTTGACGCACTATACAGTTATGCCCTGGCACCAAAGTTTTGTTGCCCAGCCTTAAAATTTTGTTGCCACGCACAGTAATTTTAGTGGCGGGAGCTTAATTTTATGTGCCAGGAACAAAGTAGAATGCACTAAACAACCGTCTAGTGCCCGGCAGGAAAACATTTTCTCAGTGTGGGGATACTTTGCCCGGCCCACTTATGAACTTTGAGCACCTGTGGACTCGAAACCAGTTGTCCCAGAGATTTGAGTTTTTGGTATGAGTCAAGGTCTGTGGTTCAACTCAACAATAGGCATAGCAGATTTTTTTAAATAAATTACCAGGTTCTAAATATATAAAAAAAGTTGGGTGGGCAAAGCTGCTTCCGTCGGAGGGGCCACTTTAGCCTTTGGCCCATCCACTAATTTAGTGCCCGGTGTACGTCAAACGATCCTGCAAATCAGACTAATGCGATGCCCTTCAGCACATCGGTAGTTGGGACCCAAATAAAGGTTTATGCCCGAAAGAACAAAAACCTTTGCCCTTAGGAAAAATTTTATTTGGGATTCAAATTGACATGGTGCCTTACGGGGACTCCGGGTAGGCAACTCCTGGTCGCACTCGACTATTTCGCGCCCCTTCCATCGATTTTCAGCGAAAATGAGCATTTTTAGTGGGCACATCGTAACCTTAATTTCGGGAAACGCCCAGGATAGTTTACGGAACAGGTTCACGTCGGTAAACTGCCAAAAATTGGCCTCGGACTGTGTCTACAAGCCCCCAAAATTAGGGTTTCTGTAAATTGAACACTCTTGTGTGCAAAGTCGTTCAAGGCCGACCCTATGAACCCCAGACGTTGATCTTTCGATCAAAACTGTCAAGTGAAGCGTGCTGAACACGCTCGTGGTGTTCGTTTCTTTCTCAGACACCTAAAAATGCTTGTGCAGCCTGTTTAAGGAAGGGAAGAGCATGGCGCGAGATCTCCTAGCTCTAATGCAGAACCCCCCTAAGGGGCGAAATGCATCCTACACTACGTACCTCGTTTTCCCGTATTGGCCTCGTTTGGCTAAGTTTGTGGCCGAAATAAAAATGGTTTCGTCTCTTGTGCCTATCTCATCTTGTTCCATAATGTTTTTAGGGGTGCGCAGGTACTTATATGAACAAACAACCCTTTGGTACTTTTAAACGATTGAAAACAGAACTTTTAGGCATTGACATATGAAGCTGAACCGCTTCCCCTTGCAATCCGTAGTGCATCCGCATGAAGCCAGCAAATTGAAATAATCTCGTTATTTAATTTCACAGTTTCTAGCTATGACATGGAATTTTAGTCAATTTTCTTTATTTGCACCGTTATTGGCTGTGCAGCTAGCGAAGCCCATCACTTCACTGACCGAAAAAGTTTCATTCGGTTTGTTTGTTTCTTTGTCTGTCTTTTTGTCAGTCTGTATTCACGAAAACTCGACAAAGAATTGAGTACTGTATCTGGAATTTTTAGGGTTGTTTTGTTTCATAAACAGTATATTTTGGGACCTGTGGCTTTTGATTTTTTGAGCTAGAATGCTCATTTTCGAACTAGATCTGTCTTTTTATGATACGACCCTGAAATTCCCAGATCGCTAACTCGATTCGTACTGGAGTTATCGTGCGTACAGACAAACAAACACCCACGCCTCGCTGATCGCTCAGCCACAAAAGTAGTAAAAATGGTTTAGAAATTGGATTCCTTGTTTCTTTTTGGATCTATTACGGTTCACCCAATGTCTTTCATCCACCGATGATACACCCCCTTTTACTCAGCCCACTAATTCTTCACCAAGTGCATTTAGTCCAATAAAATTAGATCCAATCTCAATTTGGGCCACTATGATACACCTTGCCCCACTACATAGTCAAGTTGTTTCCGCAAACCCGGGGGAAGTCCACTCGCCTGGCCTCGGCCTTCATCTCTTCATATCGGCTGGTAAAGCGCTGCAGTCGCTCCGTCACTTCAGTCCGGCATTTATGCAGATGCCTTCAAGACTTGCATAGCGTTCTGTTTGGTTTGCGTTTTCACTGTTTGCTTACGGAGGGCTCGCCGCACCCCGCTGCAGTTGACGCCCTCGCACATAGTTATCGTCGAGGTATTTTGTCCATCCACATTTAGACACAAAAATAAAGCATTCCAGTAAAGCTGAGATGCAGGAGAATGCAGGGAACAAGAAAACGGAAGTCACTTCACTAAAGCATAGCGAATTCCGTTTTCTTCTTCACCGCATTCTTTTGCATTTCAGCTTTACCGGAATGCCTTATTTTGGCGCCATCGTGGCATGAACTAGCCGAAAGAAGTTAGGTGTTACTACCCAAGAAAGACACTTTGCACCAACAGTGGGCGTTAGGGAGCTAGAAAGGTGGGCCAAGTGACGACTGGATAACACGAAACAGGGGGAGATGCGGTGGATGTAAAACTAACGCGCGAAATTGCTTTGTTACTATTGTTTTGGATGAAACGCATTGGGTGAACCGTCCTGATCCCTCTCTTTTTACTCGGAGAGTACCTCGTTCTGTATAGTAAAGTATGCAAAGGGTATACCTTACAGAAACAAATTGCATCTGGTCTAGAGGTGCAAGAAAAGTTTTCTTTTGAGGTTCAAAGTGGGGCGTGTCCATGCAGGCGGATCTGAAAGCAGTAGGTGACACTGACACAGGCTCCCACTCACTTGGGTGTACACACTCAAAATGAGAAGGGGCCGAGCCGGAAACGACTAAGGTAATCCGACAGACAGCCGTTGGGAAATCCAGCAGTTGTAGTCCGAGACAATTCGAAGTAATCCAGGGTAATCCGGGGAAATTTTTTGGTAATCCGGAAGGTACTCACGCGGTAAACCGGGTAATCCGGCTGACACAAAGTTTGACAGTTGTTTCCCTCTCTGAAGAGACAGTTTTGCGTACCCTAAAAGAAGTCGGGAACTATTAGTTCCCGACCGCTTTGAAACCGGATCTGCTTCTTGAAGGTCATGGTCTCTGCAGACTCAGCATCAGAGAACCGTACTCTGGCATCACTGCCCAGCATCGCCTTCCGTTCCGTTCCTTGTTACGATACCTTGACAGTGCGTTTCTAAGATTTGCACAACACTTACATAGATAAACACTTACCGCTAATAAGAGGAAAAGTGTAAAAAACCACACATATTAGCAGCAGAGCTGGCCAATAGGTGTAAGAAGTGCGAGTGATAAATGCTGGAATCTTAATGTTGAGCTGCCGCTGGTCAGGGGGCAGTGTTGCATTATAGACGTTAAGTACGATACCGCTGATCGAAAATGGAATGTACAAAAAAAGCATCCACCTGCAACCACAACGACAAAGGTAAGGTGTCGAAAGAGATGTCGTTCACTTTAATCGAACTGGCCAGTTGCGAACAACATCAGTCCAAACAAAATGCTGCATCAAAGAATCAAAAGCCGTAACTATGGGCGGTTTAATGTGCAACCAATGAGCCAATGAGTAGGGCACGTGTTGCTTTGTACAGTTTGCTCTAAGAGTCTCGGACCAGGAAGAGGTCGCGTGAGAATCACGACCGACGTGCCGCGGAGCAAAAAGGTTAGCCGACTCAACTATTTCGAACACGACCTCTCATTGCCAGCCGACGATAGGCATTGCAAATCGCATTTAAAAGAAGGCGCGGCGGCTTAAAATGCTGCCAACCAACCCCCCTTTGCAGCTAGGGGCCCGGAGAGTTCTAAAGAAAACTGTGCTTAGTCCAGGGGTCTCAAACTCGAGCTATCCGCCGAGCCTCACCGGCATAGGCCACACGCACTACAAGCTCTTCGGAAAGAAGAATGAGAGAGATGGATGTAGTGGTGCCTCAGCGACTGACCCGTGCCCGGCCGCACTGCTGTCGCCGCCGGCTAGCTTTGCTCGGCGCTCGGTCGCCGGCCAGTGTGTCTGTCTTTGTCACTCCTAATGGCGCCTCATTGAGTAAGACAAAGACAGACACACACACTGGGCTAGCGAGCGAGCGGCGTGTGTCCAGCGACAGACGACGGCGGCTGGGTCCAGCGCAGCTCCGAGCAACCCGAGCGCGGCTCTCGGGGGCTCGGATCCACCCGAACGCAAGAGGTGCGCGGCTCTCGGCGAGCCGCGAGTTTGAGACCCCTGGCTTAGTCGGCTTCATAAGCGTTCAATGTCCATGGAGGAAATCTTCAGGGCCGCAGGCCCTCCCGGAAGCCTTCGCTTACTTAAATGTGGCTTGTAGGTCAGGCCGCAGGCTCGACCAAACACCGCTCGCGGGCCAAGCTAGGCCCGGCCCCTGCTGAACGGAGTTGCCTTCCGAGCGAAGTGAGGCTGACAACTTCGTTTGGCGGAAGGGTGGGACTAGCGTGTTGTATGTGTAAAATGTAGTGCAATAACGCCCAAACTACTATTTACCTGCAAAATTTTCTTGTTTGGACAATGCACCGGTAGTTGGCAACACGCGCTTCAGTAGGGGCCAGCATATTTTCGACTCTTTCAAACGAGTCCTGCAAGCATTTTCTTATCGCCAAAAGCTGGAAATTTGGAACAAAGTATATGTTCTCTCTTCAATTGAAATTCAATTACGCGAGACGCCTCGAACACGACTCGCCTGATGCATGCATAGTGAAGAGGCTTGTGGTTCAAGTGTGCACACCCACGCCAACATACCACGGGTTTGTCGGGTGAGCCCCACATCAACTAGCACAGACAAATCACTCTAAAATAGGGTTTTCTTTTGCTGTCCGAAACGGAAGTAGGATTTTGTTTTAAAATCAGTGATTGAGCTGTTTTTGTGATGGATTGGATTGGTTGGCCGCAAAACGTGCCTCTCCAACCTTTTTAGGCCATGAATCGGTAGACTGGCAAATCTTTCCAAACTACCCCCGAGTTCAACATGCCCTGTTGCCGAACTGAGATGGGTTAGCGACCCCATTCAAAGCACCCAACCTTGGCCAAACCTTGATCTTAAAGGCCCTAGAGTCTAGGTTTCCTGCGGTGACGCTCGCGGCTGTGTGACGGATGTATGAAGACGGTACAAGACACAAATTTGACCCCCTGAGTACACAACGGCATGAGATGACATAACAGTACTCCCAGCATAAGTCGCCGGGCTTCTAGACTTAGATTTATACTCGATGAGGAATGTAATGAAAGTACTCCTATCCCTCACTCTGGTCATTGTGTGGGCGGGCCACCCTACGTAGATCTACGCAACCTTTATAAAAGAGCACAAGACAGCTTTCACTTCCTCGTAGATGGTTCTGGAAATATCGCATGGGTAGGCGGTAGTTAAAAGAAGTCAAAAAGAATCCTCCCAGAATTTCTTCAATTGAAATTCAATTACGCGAGACGCCTCGAACACGACTCGCCTGATGCATGCATAGTGAAGAGGCTTGTGGTTTGCTCGATCAAACTCAAACACCAAAGTTCGCAATAATTAAAATGGTAGTTTGCCCTGATTTTAACATCTCAAATACGGCAAATACGGAGCGGAGCTCGAAACACACCTGACCGTTTTCTATGCCTGGAAGGCCACAGAGGCACGTGATCAGATTGACAAATCAGAGCCATTACGGAAGAAAAATTAGTGAGTTGGTTCTTTTCCGACATCCGTTTTCGATGACATGGAACACCCCAGACTATTGCCGCTGACCCAATGCACCGAGAAAAATGTTTTGACACCATGACCAAACTTGTTTGTTGTGACTGAAAAACAAACGCCCCTCGCTTCGTGGCTTGGAATGTTTTAGTCACCTCGCAGCCATGGTGATGCAGGCACAAGGCTTTGGCAATGACGACAATGACGGCCACCACGTCCCCGACAACTCCCAGTACGGTGAGGTAACTTTCGTACTCTCCCGAGAATATGTAAGCTGTGTTGGCAGCCATCAGGACGAGCAGCGGACCGCAAATGACGTTGATGGACAGCCAGGCAGCTGCGGGGTGTCGAGACTCGTCGGGCCAGGCCCACACAGCTCGCATCAGCCGTACGGGAATTTCAAGCACCTTAAATGATGAAAACGAGTGGTTACAGCTCCTTGACATCAGGGGCCGGTAATTTACACCTTGTGTGTTAAAGTTACAGTTCCAATACCTAACTTATCCTCTCATGGCTTAAGTTTACTTTATTTGTAATGTAACGGTATAAAGTTATAGCAGTGTGAAAAATATTCTGAAATTTAAGCGAAACATCCCTTAAATTTATTAACATTTTCACTTGTTCTTGAACGTAATGACAGATTATGATATTTAACACTAGAAGGACCGGAGGGGTCAAAATGACCCCTTTTGATTTTTTATTGCCAAAGGAACAACGAATTATTTTTTTGATCGATCCATCACTTTCCGACTTTTCATGTACTACCGAAAGACGCTTGGACGCAAAATAGGAGGTCTCTGCGACATGAACTTAATTTCGAACCGAAATTTCGGAGATATTACTACTTATACCTAGAAGGACCGAGGGGGTCATTTTGACCCCTTCTTGAGATTTTATAAGTGTAAACTGACGAGGACTTACTTTTCCACCATTAGGCTGACCGTATTTGTTATGTACGGTGGCTTATGACTTTTGGTCGGCCATGTGACACTTTTTAACTCCTTCATTCGGCGGAGGTAGGCAACACGCACGTCACAAAACCCCGTTTCTAAATTACAACATATCCGAGGCTTTAGTGGTAGTTGCGTCACCGGACTCGAGTTCTGATGGCAAAGGGGGGCGTCTAGCACAAAGTACGGATGGTTTTGCGAATGCCAAAACTGCCACGTCAGTGCCAAATAAGAAAAAATGTAATGTTTTTGTGTGAATCACATTCCCGCTTTTAGAGTACTTATGTGTTCCAAAGATCACGTACTTATAAATGAGTACTAAGTCGGATATTAATTTTGAAGTTTAAAAATGTCTAAAATAGTGCGAACAATTGCCAGAAATAGCTGTAAAATTGCAAAAAAAAATGTTGTCTGTCGTGCGGGTTGCCTACCTAAACGCACTTTAAACCCAACCAATGTCACGTCATGGCATCAGGTACCTTGAAACACACAAAACCTTAATAATGTGCGATAAAACGGGAGCCTTGAAGCCATAAAAACAGCCAAAATTCGTAGAGGGGTCAAAATGACCCCTCCGGTCCTTCTAGGTATACGAAAATCCCGGTTCTTCTAGTGTTAAGAAGTTTTCTTAAATTTTCAAACCAGGTTGTGACAATTCGGATGAAGATTCACAATAGGGTATTTCACCTGACGCAAATCGGATCCAAAAAAGAACAAGGGTTCTTCCTGAACTCTTTCCTCCCTTGCTCTGATTGGCTGACGCCGACGAAGTTCATGAACTGGCCGCAAGGGTGGTCGACCCTTGGTGTCGGGTCCGAGAACTTCGTCGGCATCGTCCAATGAGCGCCAAAGCAGGAAAAAGTTCAGGAAGAACTCTTGTTCTTCTTTAGATCCGGTTTGCGTCAGGTGAAATACCCTATTGTACTGAATGTTCATTAAATATCAGACCAAGTTTATTAAATTTAAAAGGTAGTCAGAATTGTTTTGAAATGTCACACTCCTGCTTACTTTTCATACTAGCATTCTGAACACTTCTTAAAAGTCATGCAGCTTTTCACCCCCTCGTCATGGAATTTTGGCGTTCAATGTACTATCGGGTAAACAACATCTAATTTGAAGGAGCGTAATGTAGCTATGTCATAGCCATATGTCATCAAAGCAAGTTAACAAACAGACGCCGCCCGACCAAGCACATAACCTTGGACGGAGCGCTGCAGAAGGTCGGTGCAACCGTTCCCTTCACAGGTATGTTCCCACAGCCGCGCGGTTGGCTCGCTGAGGAATACCCTATAAAGGATTCCGGTAAAGCTGAGATGCAGAAGAATGCAGGGAACAGGGAAACGGAAGTCACCATGCTAAATCGTAGCGATAGCCGTTTTCTTCTTCCCCGCATTCTTCTGCATTTCAGCTTTACCGGAATGCTTTACTGGGTAGATCTTGGATAGAGGTCCTATCCTATCCTTTTCCAGAGGGTTTCGTCAGGGCCAGATCATCTATTATCACAAACAAGCAGGCCCGCCCTTCCGCCAAACGGAGTTGCCAGCTCCGCTTCGCTGCGCCGGCAACTCCGTTCGGCAGGGGCCGGGCCTGCTTGGCCTGCCGGCGGCGACGCTCGGGCCTGCGGCCCAACCGTTTTTGCTAAATTTGCTGAAAGACATAATCAAATAATATAGCGGG